ATTCAGCACCTGCCATTTTGTGTAGAACAAAGGAGCAAAGGTTGTGGATCTGACACATAAAATAGGGCTTTGGGCACTTGGAAGATTGGACAGGAATGGAGTCATCTTGAGTAGGTCTCGCCACGCCATCTCAACTTCCCTTGCGCTTTACATCCCACACCAGTATGTACAGTGTAATGAACAAAGATGTAGAACCATCACCATGGCAAGATTGAAGAGGCCCTCAGAGTGAATAATTAGGAGGAGGTGATTACAGAACTAGTAATTCATGGAAAGGAATGGGGAGCCAATTCAGTGAAATTGAAAGAATTTGAAGGTAAATATGCCCATAAATCCTCCAGGGTGGACTCAGAGTTTAGCACTTTCTCCTCCCTGGTTTTATTCCAAGGCAATTTCATTAAACACTAGAGAGAGGGAGAGAAAAAATAATAATATAAATGCCATAAAAAATCTTTCAGAGGAAGGAATAAAAAGGGTTCCTGCCAGAGAGAGATTTTATTGAAAGTTATTATAATACCTATCTTTAGTTTTATGGCCTTTAATACAGGGCCAAGTAATTTCAAAGCTGGGATTCTTTAAAAATGAAATACATATTTTAAAATAGTGTAGTATGAATTATTATTTTTAATATAGAATTTAGCTAATATATGGAATGGAAAAATATTTTCTTTCTCATGTTCTTTCCAGTGAAAACACAAACATCATTTCCATCGTAGCATACAGAGAAGTTTCATTACTATCATGTTGCCTGTACATAAGAATGTTTAGCATTTACCACCTCTAGATCACTGGGCAGACACTAAAGAATTAACCCATTTACCTCCCCTGGGGCCAATGGGTGAGTATAATCAGCCCCATTTCAAAAATGGGGAAAGGGAACCAGAAATGGAATAGCTGGTTTTGCTTACTGCCTCGTAGTGAGCCATTTCTGATGAGAAGAAATTATGTTAGTGGAGAGACTTCTGGGGTTGCTGCTCACTAGCCTCTCCTGTCTTGCGGAAGGAGCAAGTTTAATAATCATGCAGTGAAAATTCTCAGCTCCAAAAGGGTTTTGAAAGGTACAGATTCCAGTTACAAGAAGTTATGGTCTTCTGGAGGTTTCCTTGACTGCTTTGTGGTCAGGAATTTGCTGCTGTTTCTCACTGAAATAGCTTTATTCCTCTGGGATGATTCAGTTGTTGGTATCTGAGCAGAAGGTGCATGGAAGACCAATATGTGATGGGAATAGAAAATCAGTTAGTGATGAATTATGATGGAAAGTACTGCGATTAAAAATACAAGATAGGAAATGGCAAGACAGATTAGCGTACTTATCTTTTCTGTGGTTTCTAGAGATCTTGTTAATGACCTTGACTCAAGCCTAACACCACTTCTGGAGGTTTTTCTTTTTTTTCTAACCCTCATTTTTATACTTACAAAATCGGCAGCATGGGACAAACAGCAATCACAGAGCAGGAAAAACTGGACTATCAGGAGAAATCGCATGCAGTGAAGAAAAGGACAGAGATTAATTGATAGAATCAGATGTGGAACCACTCATGAAAAAGTGCAGATACAGGTCAGAGTTAGCAGGGTTGGAGAGTATTGCACATCACACATTTGCATTTTGTCTGAGTCTGGCCGACTGTGCGCTTCTCCGTTCAGAAGCAACACAAGCTGCATCAGGACTTTGTAGAAGGAAAGCTAGAATGCATATCTAAGAGTACAGCGTAAGTATGTTGCATGTGCTGTCTTTAAGCTGCTTATTAGATGGGGAATTGATCAAGAAGATAAACAAGAGCCAGGCTTCATGACTTTTCAGCTTCTGCTCAGAACTCATCTTGGCTTCAAAATTCTTCATCCCACAGTGTTCAGGAACTGTCATGCATGAGAGTGGCTGAGAGGCCACAGAGGCTCACCTCGCCCAGCACCCCGCTGCTGGCCCTGGCCATGCATGGGGCTCTGGGGAGAGAGTCCTGAACAGGACAATGCAAAGAGTGATACTTCTTTGGTCTCCAGTGTCAGTGGCACAGGGACTTCCCAAACTAAGTATGGGGTATTTAATAGTTCTGGATGGATGTTTTTACCTTTAGTTTGGCCAATAACTTCCAAAATGCATCTAAACCTTTATTACCTACCAGTATCCTGTTGCAAGGAGTTCCCCAGTTAAAAAAAAAAAAGTGTAAATTGTGTAAAGAAATATCACCTGTTTTTTTCTGGGCATGCTATCTTTCTGGTTTTATATGATGCCCCTAATAAGCAAGAGGAAAAAAAAAAGAGTTATAAAGGAACACCTTATTCTTTACAAATACTGACTCACATTGTCAATTCACTTGGATCTAATTCCAAGTTAATGTTGCATGAAGCCCTTAGATATGAGCAAGTAAGTGGGTAAGTGAATAGGTATGGCAGCTGATAAGTGACAACCATACATTGTTAAAATTTTTATGTTTATTTCCTACTTGAAGCAAATCATCACTATTCTTCTATGAGACCCTACATGTGAATTGTCAGACCTTCAACTAAGAGCAAAATCCACATGCTCTAAATTCAACCTGGAAATCACAACTGATTGCCAGGGTCTTCGCACTGTCTGAGCAAGGTCTTCTAGTACTAATGGATAATTTATTCTTTATTCACAGTGCTATTCTTAACACTCTTTTACAAGTATTTTAGACAACTGTAATATAAATCTCCAGTTTCATTAGCTCCATTTCACCTTCTTAAAAAATTTCTTGCTGTATAGTTTTGTTGACTTATTGTGCTAAATTACTTTACAGTGGTGAAATTAAAAACTAATATCTTTCTACCCAGGGACAGCTGCATTTCACTGTTGGAGGATGTGATCAGTGTTTATATAAGTTATAAAGTGATTTGGTGTCCTTTGGGATAAATAATGCTTTATAAAATATATGTGACAGGACCAGAAGAATTGTAGAAAGTAAATTTATATTTTGTGCATTCCTCCTTTCTTGACCTCTCACTGAACAGACAAACTTTTAAAGCCAGCTTGTTTTAAGAGAGAAGTCACCAGGATTTCAACAGTGTTCTTCCACTATCTATGACTGAAAGAAGATGCTAAATATGACCTTAGCGTGTAAGGCAGGAAATTGCTTTGTACATGTTACCTCCAGTTCCTTTTAATCTTGCCTTCTCACTGAGGCAAGATTGTGAAAGTATTTAATGAAAATATTTAAGCATGACACTATGGCAAGATTGCATCCTACAAAACGTTGCCAAATGGCAATGCTGGGTAAGACCAAGTAACACGTACACTAAGGATTCCCTTACTTCATGGCTGTTTTTTACAGATACTCTATTTTTATAACTTTTATTTACAACCAACTGATCCTATTTTTCTTTCTTGGCTCACTCTAAGCCACTGAAATCAAGAGTGAAGGAACATTGTGTTCAGTCTGGTCTTTCTGACTGACTGCTTGGTTCTGGTTTTTTCCTTAGCTGAAATACAAACAGAGAGGGAGAGAGCAAGGAAATTCTGGCAGGGGACAGAGGGACTTGATAGTGTTAGGACCACAGGAGGCTAAAGAAAAGGCTGAGACCTCAGAACACTTACGCAAATAGAAGAGGGAGCATGTTGGAGACAGCCATAGCAGGCATAGGAATGTAAAGGAGACCTTATTTAAAGCTGGAGAGTCTTTTTCAGGAATAAGGATTTGGAAGGCTTCTCATGATGTGAGATTCCCAGGAATATTCACCTGGAGTACTAAAGTACAGTGTACTGAAGTACAGCTGCCCTGCTCCTGAGGAGCTGAGATTTCAGCAATGCTTCCTGCCTGGTGAGGAACATTTTAGTTGTTTTGTTTCAGGAGTCATCCCACTGATCCTACAGCTCAGCAGAATAGGCAGCTTTCTGCAAGGAAATGTTGTTAGGGGAGACAATTTCAGCAGAAGCCATGGTCTGAGCTGATGCTGCTGAGCTAGGGTAATTTTGTACTGCATGCAGGAACGTTACAACCTGTGTCCAGAGGCTGCCACAGACTCTCCCTAATGGTCTGCATTACTAATTCAACTAATTGCAGCAATTACGGGCAGGAGATGCTGCTGGGAAGAGATGCCACTACACTTCTCTCTAACATGCTGCAGTACATGCTGCTCATTAATTAGACCAGCAGAGAAAAAAAAAAAAAGAAAGAAAGAAAGAAAGAAAATATCACCAGCTGGAAATGCAAAGGAATGTGCCGAAACCTGTGAGGGCCGTGAACAGTCACAGTTTGGTTTAAGCCTTTCAGAACCAGACTTTCCAGCCTGTCAGCCCCGTCACAGCCACATCCCTGTTCTCTTGGCAAGCAAGTAGATGAGGTTGCATGTTGGGCATACCTGACACATGCAGCAGTTCTTCATCGTGCAACAAATGGGTTGCATAGATATTTACTATCTGGGTAAATACAAAGGATTCCCAGCCCAAGAGGTGCATTAGCAGAGCAGGAATTACCTCAGTGAGAGTGCTGCTCACTGCCTGGGTGACGCATATTATCTATCTTCTACATTTTTCTTTGCAGAAAGCATGTTCAGCCTGAACATGCCTCATACGGTAAGTCTCTCAGTAAGTGCCTTCTGGCTGGCCCTACATGGTATTGGTATTTATTGAGGAGCCCAGCACGTTCCAACCGGACACATCTACTTTGGCTGTCGGAGGACGGTTTGCCAGCCAAGCAGGTGTCGTAGCCCGCTGTACTGACTGTGTTCAACAGCACAGTGCGATCCGCTTGCTAACCTAAACAGCCCGGCAGGCACACTGCACCTGTGCACACCTGAAATATTCAACAGCACAGGATAAGCACTGTTCCTCCAACAGGAGACTCTGGCTCCATGGAGGGCACATTTACACAAGCATATCTGGAATGCTTGGTACAAGTTAAATATTTCAAAAGTTGCAATTCTGAAACATTTTTTTTTCTAGGATACTTAGCTGCCTCTGTAACAGCCTCTTGACTTGCAAGTATCTTATATTTTTTTTTTCTTCTGTTCTTTTTCTTTCATTCCTTTCCTTCACATGCCAGACAACGGATGACATCGTTTCATCAGCTGAATGTTCCAGTGATGATGAAGATTTCATTGACTGTGAGCCCAGTACAGGTAAGTCAGGTCAGTCTTGTTTTGCTTGCTTTCTGATTTCATTTGCAAAAAACAATGCATACATATATTTTTATCTGTGTGAATGTATACATATATAATTATATATGTATATATGTGTGTGTATATGTATATATATATACACTTATGTATATATACACTCTATATAAAATAAAAACTATACAGCCAAGCATCAGATCCCATGGACTGGGCAACAACAAAACACAGATGCGTAGTCACTATTTGGTTCATATAAAGTTGTTTGCATGGAAAGCCAAACTTCCTGGAAGTGATCCCAGCTAATTAATAGTTCACATGTTTGTAGCAGTTACTTCACTGACACAGTGGGAAAGCAAAAATATCAATGTGGCATGTGACGAATAATAAAGATTTATGAAGTGGGGAGGGTGAATGTTTGAAAAACAGAAGAGACACAAAAGTGAAGCAATAATGGGTTATTAGCATTGTTTAATCTTTGTTAATTGCTCTGAAGATGGACTGTAAAAGGATACATTTGTCCATGGGATTTTGAATACAGTTAACATGGTAATATATTTATACTAATTTTGTTTCCTGTGAGCCCAAAGAAATTGGGAAGCACCAAAACATAGTTTGAACATAACAAAATTAGTAGTAATTCTTGCCCTGTTATCTGCAGTGATGCTTCAAAATGTATCCATTAAAGAGTCAGAAGGACTGGCCATATGGAACTGACTCAACTTCTCCCTTTCAGATACATTTTGATAAATTGATGGCTTTTCTTTCTGGTGAGATATATGATGTGATATCCAGCAGGCAACTGCAGTCTATTTTATTTCTTACAGGCTTTTTCAAGTCTTCTTTTTTGAGGCTTGCCATGAGTTAAGCATTTCTATAATAGAGAACAGACATCATCGAATTTCTGTGTACATTAAAATGAAAAAGAAGGAGTTTGGTTAGAATTTTTTGTCCTTAAAAGTGAAACATATAAATAGTTTAGGGTTCTTGGGTTTGGGTTGGGGTTTTTTTGCTTTGTTTTGTTTGTTTCTGCTTTGTTTTATTTGAGATGATTTTTTTTCTTTAAAAAAATCCCAAGAAAGCATTATAAGTGTTCTGATTCTAGTTTCCTGAAGCTATTTTATTAATACAATAATAATAAAATTCACCCAAGACTAGTGCTTTCATATTTCTTTTCAATTCGTCATGCTGTACCTGCATTTTTTGGTAGAACTTGGTCCTGCAGTAACCTGAGATTGCCATTGCCTTGTAGCTGGGAACTTCCACCCATACTCTTGACTTGCCTGTCATGACAGGGAAGGCAGTGACACAACGGCTGATGCTAACAGATAGCTCAGCCTACTCCCATCTCTCTTTTCACAAATCTCTATGAGTTTTTCAACTCCCCATCTGGCAGAAAAGCAGTCCAAATAATACTAGATTGTGAAGCATAAACAGTGTGGGTACTGAGATTTTTAAATAAAGGTAGCAATGAAATGCCAGCACAGTGATTATCATGAAAGTGAGGCATGAGATTAATAGGACCATGCTAAAAGGACTAATGTACCACAACTGACATGCAAGTGAATGGATAGGAATTATTTCATTAAAGCTTCACTAATATTTCAAGACTTTTTTTTTTTTAATTCTGATTGCCAAGTGTTTCAATTAAAGGAGGAAAGGAGATCTTTATCAGACTCCTCCTCTTGTACATTATTGTTGTTTAAGTTTCAATGCAGAAATCACTTCAATGGCTAGAAATTGTAATAGCAATGTTTACTGCAAGTGGAAAAATCAAAGTTTGATGAGGAATTTGGTAAACCAGGATGTTTAGCACGAAAATTCAGAGTGCTTTAGAGCAACTTTTCCAGACTAAAAATGCGTCTTTCCTGACACAGTTAGAAATCTAATGCCTCAAACAGGTACAAACTGGATTTGTAAAAATTACTTGCCTTTGAAAATCCTGCTAAGCATTACAGTTGGCAGCTATAAATGCCTACAGACATTTGAATATCTGCTGTGTAAAATAATATAATTTGCTGAAGGTACTCTCTTGAACTTCTACACATTCTTGAAAATTCCATCCAGTATCTTTTATTGTACCCTACTCCTCCTCCATAGGATGGTGGTCCGTATGAGCCACTAAAATCTGAATCTTTTCTTAGGAATTACTGTACAATTGAGAATAAAAGTTAGCCCAATTATATGTAAAAAAAAGTCTCCCAGATGGTCCTTGCTGATGAAATTTACACTTCCAGATTTTGAGGTTTCTTGCTCTCAGAGGCGCTGATGTACAAAGTCACCAGAAGGAGGAGGGATATGCAGGTCCTTTTTGCCTCTAAAAGCATAAACTTAGCTCATTCCATCATAATAAGAAGGAAGAGTAAAATGTTTGTGGTGCTCATCATTTAGGTTTCTTTGTCTATCTTAATTGTCTCCATTCCCAGTGCATCCAGAGAAGGTAGAATGGTATGCCAGTATCAAGGCACTCATGCAGTCATTCCACTCTGGAACACTAAAGCAATCTGAGCCAGCTTATCAAAATCCAGTGGTGCTGGCTTGGCTGAGCAGATATGTTTGCCTTTACACTTCACCAGCCAAGTCAGGATTCTGGCCACGCCAAGATCTGGTAGTTAAATGTGTACATCGAGGAAAGAAAAGATCCGGATTCTCTTTCTTGTATTTTCTAGTGTGTGGGTTTGGATTTTTTAGATTTAATTATTTTTTTTTTAAACTGGGCCCATTTGAAGTTGCTTCATCCTGTTCTGTTGACAGGTCAGTGTATTTTACACTGCCTTCTGGCTTGCCTGATCCCTTTTGCAGCAAATTGAAAATTGAATGACCTAACCCAGCATAGGCTCCTTTTTGTTGCTCTGATAATGTGTAGCTTTTAAAGCTCTTGAGTTTCTGCCAAATGCCAGGACTTGGCCTTCCATCACCCTCGGTGCCTTGGTCCAGCAATGCAAAGGTTACTGAACTCACTGCTGCAGCTGTGAGATATGATAAACATCTCTATGAACCTGCTGTGCAATAACCAAGACAAGGGCAGCAGGGAGCGTTGCCTGGCAAATCAAAAGCTTTCAGCTTTCATATGGGTCAGAATCAAATCCCAAGATCTAAATATATTACTTTGGTCTTGGTCCTGGATCAGAGGCAGTACCCTGCAGAGTCCTTTTGAAGACTTTGGTTTTGGTGGACTCAAAGATAGTTCAAAAGAGAGAAAATCATGTCCTCTTTGAGGCTAAATATCGCATGAGAACCATTTGCAGGGTCTTACTGCCACTTAACTCTGATTGCCTGTTGAATCCAAGACCTGAATCTCAGTAAGCATATGATCCACATCTGGACACCTGCTTCTCTTTAAAAGAAGGTGGTGTAAAGGCAATTTCCTCACTCCGCTCCCCTCAGGATTTTCCTGGCTAGCTTGACACACTCACTGCAGCAGTCTGGCTACCACTCTGTCCCCCTCCTCCAAAAGTGATTTCTGTTGGGATTTCTGTAGATCCCCTTGTTTAGAAACCAGGAGCTGTCACAGGACCTGTCCTGACTGAGATAGCCTACAGGCATCCCCTGTAGACACATATGTATGCTTAAGAAATTATTCTAACAAGTTGTGGCAATGACAGCTGTGAATCCAAAACCTATTTCTATTTTACATAATGAAAATGAAGCCATTGCAGGTTCAGGGATAAAAAATACTTGCTATTCATCTTATAGCAGACAAGCCCAGATACCCTTAGATCTCTAGATCTCCCAGAATGGCTTACTGTAAATGATACAGAGGGCATAAGACTGTTCGTCTGCCCTGAAGAAACATTTACTTAGTCGAAAGCAGTCCCTCTCTTATGTCTGTGGAAATGTCGCTTGTCCCAGTACGTGTTCAAAAACCTTCTGGTTTCTGTGCCAGAAACATGATGCTTTTCTCTGGTATAAGTACAGGACTCTCTTCTGGCCTGTTGCGGGGAGATCTGAGGCTCAAATATTCAAGTTCCTCAAAGCTGAAGCCAGGGTTCTGACTCTGTGCTTTTGAACACAGCTCTGTGGTGTTGTTTTGGTCACTCAGCCACTCTCAGAGAATGGAAGATTTGTAAGGGAAATATCTTTCACCTAACTAGGAAGCACTGTGCCAGCATGAAAAAAGAAAGCATATATCTCTTTCCAGTCAAATGAGGAGCACCCCTACAATCTGATCTTATTGACTTCAAAGCCTTGAGGATTATAGTTACGCTTTCCTGACAAGAGCTGCTGGTGTCTCCTCATACCATTTCCCTTGTTCCCGTTTAAGCATGTCCGTTAGTGCAGTGCTCTGGCACCAGGCAGGCTGGATGCTGGTGTCTGGGCAGCTGGTTGGGATCTTAGCCCAAGCTGCTCATTGCACTACTCAAAACAGTAAGGCCCAAATGCTCACCAGTTAGCCTGAAGACCATAATGCAACCTCTCGCAATGGTCTGTAGGGCTTAATCCTAGCTTCCTGGCTTGACACAGCCCATGTGTCTTCCCTGGTGCAGTTGCCAGCTTTCCCTTCCTATCAGCTCAACAATTTCCTAGGTGATTTTTTTCCAGAGAAATTTATTCTGTGTTTCCCAAAAGGCGTCATATGTCATAAGGCTGGCGTTGTCTAATCAGACTGGTAAACCTTTCCCATGAGGGACTGAAGGCAGCAATAGAGATACCAAAATCTACAGTTCTTTGCACTGAAAGTTGCACAGTATCTTGTAGCATATACCCATACACAGAAGACACATATCCTACAGGTATGGTGCCTGTATCTATAATTTACTGGCCTGTACCCATCCACTTCAGGCTCCTGATTTAGGGGCTAGGACAATCAAGCTTCCACCCATGTAAGCTGCAGAACCGGGTACCTGCAGGCTGCCCGGGTCAGACATTTATTTGCAGAAAACAAGCAGAATCTCTTCCAAGAGTCTAGAAGCAGCCAGCCCAGTACAAAAAGCAGTATGCTGGAAGTGAAGAAACGTTGACTGAAGAAACCAAGAGAAATGCTGCTTTGGCTCTTGTCCTCCATA